GTCTTTGGTGTAATGTCACTTCACTTCTAAGTCTACATGGAGATTACTTATCCTCTTCTGGTTACACTTTTCCTCATTCTGGAATTTTGTCTTTCAGGAGGTCTAGAAGATTCTGAGCATTATGTTAAGTATTATCTCTCTTTGATTTTTATCTATTCTCTTTTTCTGGAAATTCAACTGGATATATATGTATTAGACTGTTCCTAGATCTTCTTTCATCTTTAATATTCTTCATTTCCTTGTCTCTTAACCAGAATTTACAGTGCTGGGTAATTTTGTCAAGCATATCTTCTAGTTCATCAATTTTTCTTTTCAGTTCTGCCTAATCTTCCCTAACCTATCCATTTTTTCTTTTACTTTTAACAGTTGTATTTTTAATTTCTTAAAGTTCCTTTCCACTTGGTTCTTTTCTGTATATACCCAGTCATGTTTTATAGTCTCATGTTGCTTGCTCATTTTTTTGAATCCATGGGTATTCTCTAGACTGTATCTGGCAGTCCCAATGTCTGATGTCCTTAGGAGTCTAAATTTATTGCTTGTTATTTTCTGTTCTCTCTTGTTCATGGTGGTTATCACCTCCTGTGCTTGGTGATCTTTGATGATCAACTCCTATATGATTGACCTTTCTCTGGGCATCTTGAGAGTCTGATTTTGGGAGGCTTTTCTTCTGATAGGATTTGTATCAGCTTTCGTTGGGAGCCAGGGAATTTACATGGGACCACTTTTCAGTTTCCACACTTTGCTTCTGGCTCAGGGCTCAGTGGTCTTACCCACCACTGCTGTTGGCGTTACTGCTCTTGCCTGTTAGGTTTGTTGCTCTTGTGGGAAAAGGGTGGCTTTAAATGTTCCCTGTTTTTGTGAACTCAGAAAGATTAAAAAATCTAGGATCTGTTTTATTTTGTAGTGATAAAAAAGAGTCCCCATTAGTTCATTGTAACTGATGGAATCAGAAGTTCTTTACTAAAATATTTAATTTTGGTAGTATGTTTATTTTAGTTTGCATTTGAAACTAACTCTTATGAAATGTAAGATTTTTTAGTGATACCAAATTTTCTATTAAATAAGTTTTACATCTAAGTCAAAGGTTGAGTTATTCTCAAGAAAAATACTAAATAACAGCCCAGGTGCAAGTGGATTGGCAAAGTTGTGGGGAATGTGAAAAAAATTTGGGAAACACTGAGCTAGGGAAGCAAGATGAAAAGGGCACAGTGTACCCTCTGGACCTACTGAGGTAAACTTATGATGACCAAACTGTGCGAAAACTGCTGTCGAAATGATATGGGCAGGGCACCCTGGGCTTGTAGAGAAGACGTGTAGAAATATACTTGGTAGTAGTGAGACAATCGAGATTATTCCCAGAGTTGGATATTAAGGACTGGTATCATTAAGTGGTTGCAGTGTAAGGTTTGTTTAAGAATGACAACCAGTTGTGTATTGACTGGCTTCTAAATTCTGTGTTGTGGAGTGACTGGAGATAAAAGCAGGTACAGGATAACAAAGGCTTCTGTGTTCTGGTAGGGAGCTTGCACTTTATTCTGAAGATCAAGGGAAGCTACTGAATTACTTCACGCAGTGAAATGTTATGATCATAGTTTTACAGAATGCAAGATTGAAGGCAAGTCACCAGTTAGGAGACTGCTTGTTAAATTAGTTCAGAGAAGAAAAGATGAAGCTACACCTGAGGCAGTGGCACCGGGTGTGAGAGGTGTATACATGTGAAGATTTCTTGGAGGAGTAGAAATGTCAGGACTTCATGGTCAGTTGGATAGGACATTGAGAGAGACAGGGGAGGCTAAATTTACCCCCAAATTTCTGGTTTGGTTAACTAAGTGGCATGTAGAGCAGCTAGCTGAAAGCAGATTGAAAGAAAAAAGAACTTGGTTTCATATGCTTGTTTTTGAGGAAAAAGATAAGTTTATTTTTGAACTTACTGAATCTGAGAGGCTTTTGGAACATGTTGGTTAAGATCCAATAGCAGTTGACAGGAAAGGTCCAGAAGTTACCAGATACAACCCAGCCTGGAGAGATTTGAGAGTTGTTAGCATTTGGATATTTCAGCTATTACTTGCCACAGTGCAGTATGAGATAAATTGGTACATAGATAAATACTCATTTTTTAATAGTTTTAATTTACTCTAATGCATATGAAAAACATAAGGAGAAATATTAAGTAAGTAAAATACATGTCATATGTGGAAATGGCAGAAGTCATGGTGAAGCTATGCAAATTATGGAAGTTCAGAAAGTGCTGTTTTAAGCCATGGGTGTGGTCACCCAAGGAGAGAATAAGCATGAAAAGAAAAGAGAGTTGACATTTGGGTGGCAGGGAATGGAGAAGAAGAGCCCGTGGAGACTGAGGAAGAGCAGCCAGAAGAATAGGAGGAGAACCAGAAGATGGTCTTTGGAGTCCAAATGAAGAGTTCTGAGGAGGAGGAAGTGGTCAACAGCGTCAAGTAAGTTGTAAGCTGAAAAGTGCTCTATGGACTTAGTGATTAAGGTAGACCATTTAGCTGGAAGTATCCGAACAGTGGATTTTTGAAAATACTCATCTAATATTAATGTTAATGATAACTGATATTTATAGCATTTCCTGTATGCCATGTACTGTTCCAAATAGCTAAATCTGTTAGCTGATTGATCAGAAAGGTAGTATTGCCATCCCATTTGATAGGTGAGGAAAGTAACTTGCCCAAGATCACACACTCAGGACATGGGAGAGCCAGGATTCAAGCCCAGGCGGTCGGTTCCAGAGTCCATGCTCTAAACCACTGTGCCACATCACCTTGCTGGTTAAAACAAATGAGATCAAATGTTGTAATTATAGATAGTGCAGTTGATGTAGGGTGTGATATCAGTGAGACCTGCCAGGCTGTGAATGAGCAGTACGATGTCATGATGGCTCAGGAAGCTGGGTATGAGCACATTAATTGTATTGTGATTGATGCCATGATGGTGACATATGGGCTGGGAAAGACAGTTCTTGGCTCTTTCTATATTTATATACAAAAAACTTCTGTAAGATAAATGAGTTTAAAAGTGTATATACTTATAGGATAGCATATGTCCCATATTATGTGCCATATTTAGGGTGCTAAAAATGTCTTTTTACTTTTTTCCAGCTATGGTTCACTTTTGGAGTTAAATTCACTAAATTCTAGAAACATTGTTCATCCAGAACAGGTCAGGTTCCAGACATTATAGAAACAATCTGCTGTAGAAGGTCACCATTGACTTTATTGAAAGCAGTTTCCCTTGAATGGTAGAAGCAGAAACCTAGTTATAGGAAATAAAATGAATGAGAGTGGGCAATTCAAATGGGAGGAAAGGGAAGAAGAATTCTTGATAAAGTCAGAGGATAACAATTCTTGGCTGTGGTCAGAGAGGAGCTAATCAGAGATTTAAAACCTGGCTTAGAATTTGGCAGTGGTCTGAGGTGTAACCTTGGGAAGAAAGAGCCAGGATGAGTTGGGCTGGGAACTTCACTTTAGTTGAGGCAGACTGCAAGGCTAGAGTCTTGAAGGGGTTGTCTGCATGGGCCTGATGTGACTGGGATGGTGATTGAATTTGGGAGAGAGAGGGGAACACTGTGGACTAGTTGCCAATGTTCTTAACCCTGACAAGGAGGCTACTAGGGGCAATGACAAGGACAAGGAGATAACAGGGAAGGGAAATATAGCATTTGAAAAGAGACAAGACTGTGGAATCAGAGGACCTAGGTTTGAATCCTTCCTAGCTTGGTGACCTTGAGCAAATTACTTAATTTTACTAGGAATGTTTCACATCTGTTCAGTGGAAATGATTGGACCTGAGAAGAAGTTCTGTGAGCATTAACAAGATGCATGTAATACACTTGGTATAATAAGTGACAAATAGGACAAATAGTTTGCTAGGAGGATTGCTATTGTTCTTCAGTTCTGATTGTGAGGTTTTCATACAGTGAATTAGATGTAAAGAGGATAAATTAAAGAAACATTTGTATTTCGAGGACTGATGGTGGTCTGTCTTAGTAAACAAGAAACTTGATTTGTCCTAACAATAGTGGGATAATAGTGGTGAAGTGAAAAGGTGTTAGAAATGGTGTTAATGGTGGTGCTGGTGGTGATAGGAAAAGAAAGCCCTTACTTGGGGATGAGTTAGAAGTAATAAAATGCTGCATTTTTCAGTGATACTTAAGTTTGTAGCTCTTCTCTGATAGCTGTACATTTTAATCTGAGCTTTCTTCAGAGAAAAAAGTCAAACTCCAGCCCTAATTCCCCTTTCCTCATTGAAATAATTATTTTTACATGGTTGTTGATAATGTGAGGGGTTTTTGCCCAACTTTGCAGTCTAGCATTGTTGTGTGTTGTAGCAATTAAGAGAGTGTTAGGAGCAGTGATTATTAGGATGGAAGGTCTGGATGCGGCTGTGGGAAGTCAGGAGATTGACACACTCACCCTGTACCACTCCAGCTCTGCACCTTTGCCCAAGACAGAAAAGCACTGATGGGTGGATAGATGAATACAAGCATCTGATAGGAAACTGTTTTCTCAGTGGAGTCAGGATTTAGTTCCTGCCAGGAGGTTGAGAATATGGCAGAGTTTGTGTACAGTGAAATGGCATATTTCATAGGATGCAGTTAAAGCAGATTGGGTCAGAGGACCGAAGTGGAAAGGTATCTTGAGGGCTTACCTGTGTATGAGGCACATTCAAAAATGAAAAAGATGCTCTTAATTATTTTTCATCTAATAGAGACATGTAAACACATAAGTTCAGAGTAGAGATGGTGACTATGTGACCCCAAGGAAAAGAAGAAGTAGAGTAAATTGCTACTTGGAAGAGACTCAAGAAGGGTATCAGAATGAGGATGAGAACTTTTCAGAGCTGTGTTCTTATTGGAGTTTTTCCCTTGTGGCGTAAGTTCTAAGTATTTTTCTAATGTACCATATATAGAAGCAGGACAGGTGCTTCTCATATCATCTCAATGATTTAATTACTGATTGAAGTTTATATTGTTTCCTTAGGATGGTATACCATGGACGATTTTGCCCTGGGAGATTTCACTGCTGCAGATTATGCCTTGTTAGAAGGTTACCATTATGTGGATGATTGTGTCTTTGCTCCTGAATTTATGGCCAATGATTATGTTCGTGTGACTCAACTTTACTGTGATGGAGTGGTAAGTAAATTTGTTAATTTTTAGATTTTTTACATGGTGTCTTTTTTGACATAAAAGGTTATATTACTTTCAGTTATACAACATAATGACTCGATAATGTGTATTATTTATTGTGAAGTGATCTCAAGAACTCTGGTTAACACCCATCACCACACAGTTACAATTTTTTTTTCTTGTGACAGCTTTTAAGATCTACTCCTTAAAGGTTTTCTGATTTAGCTCTATCTGAGTAAAGATGTTTTGTGGTATGTGGGTTTTTACAGGGAGGTTTACAGGCTTTTGAAGAGGTAATTTCAGATAATTTCAGAAGGGAAAGGAAGCCAGTGACTCAACAAGAATGTTCAGTGCCAGAGAATGGGTGATGGTGCAAGATGGTTTTCTGAATGGAGATTAGAAAAGCTCTCAGGGAGCCATAGAAACAGGCTTGGGGGACTTTGAAAAAGCCTAAAGAATCACTGGTTGAATATACTGTATTCCAAGCATATAAGTAAATGTGTACTGAAATTTTTAAGTTTAGTACTGATAATCCTTACCTTAAAAATAAAAAAAATGGAAAGATGGCAGCGTGAGAGGAGAGACAGAGGCTTCCTCCTAAAACTGGATATAATTAGAAAATTTAATTGGCGCAACTAATCCTGAGAGAGCAACAGGAAAGGACGCGTCAGACTGCACACACCTGGAGAAAAGAGCAGACCTCAGCAAACTGGGTAACGTACCAGAGCTGTGGCTCCGCGGGACTCGAGCCCCTCCCCCACCCCAGCTCATCGGTGGGAGGAAGACAAACGGAGCAGGGAGGGAGTGGAAGGCTTGGGATTGCTGAATACCTAGCTCCGGAGATATGCACTGGGAGCACAAACCTACATTTCATGGTGCTTTCATGAGACTCGCATGACTACCGGGTTGGAAAGTTAATACAGGCAGAGTTCCTGGAGAGACTGGGATTCCGGCTGCTTGTGGAAAGCAGGGATCCATATCTGGCTGCTCTGGGACAAAAACTTATACCTGTGTGCCCGGCCCACTGGCTCAGGCAGTGGAGACAGGCACAGGAGCCAGGAGGCGGGGAACAGCTCTTTCCTACCCCCAGTACCGCTCCCCTGCGACCCCCTGACATTGCTTCAGGGGCTCAGCAGCTCCAGAATAGAGCTTCTGGGCACTAGAGGGTGCCATATACAAACATGAAATGCCAATGGAACCTTGTCCAGAGTAAAATTGTTAATACAACTCCTGAGAAAGATTTAAATGGTATGGACCTCGTGACTCTTCCTGAAAGGGAGTTCAAAATAAAAATCATCAATATCCTAATGGAGGTACGGAAAGACATCCAAGAACTCAGGAATGAATTTAGGTCAGAGATCCAATCGTTAAACAACAAAATGGATAGTATTAAAAGCAGGTTGGATACAGTGGAGGAGACAATAAATGAAATAGAAACTAGAGAAGAGGAATACAAAGAAGCTGAGTCACAGAGAGAAAAAAGGATCTCTAAAAATGAAAGAATATTGAGAGAACTGTGTGACCAATCCAAGCG